CTAGCCAAAACTCTACTGGAGGTAAATAATCAAAAAGTCCAAAAATTGGGAGATGGCAATACAACTATGCCCTATTATTCATATGATTGAATCTTAGTAAACCATTAAAATGTTTATGAATGTTATGAGTAATTTTAATGATATATGAAGCATTTTTCTCATGTCATGAAAATGAAATGAAATCTAATGAAATAGAAAAAAGCAGACCACAAAATAACATATGCAAAATGATCTCAGCTTTATGAAACAAAATACAGAGAAAATAGATTGGAAAGAAACACAGTCATCCCTCAGTATATGCAGGAATTGGTTCCAGGATCCCCGCATACCAAAATCTGTGCATGCTCATGACCCACAGGAGGCGGAACCTATCTATACCAAAAGTTGGCCCTCCCTATGTGACAGTTTCCTCATCCTAAGACTACTGTATTTTCAATCCAAATCTGGTTGAAAAAAATCCATATATGACTGGACTCACACAGTTCAAATTTATTTTTTTCAAGGCCCAACTGATTCTCTGGGGACAGTATGAGAAAAATATATATATATATATATATATATATATGCACATACACATACATATATGTATTCTTTGTTCATATTTATGTGAAGAACATATATATGTTCCTCAATACACATATATACACACACACAAATATATACCTTTTTCTACAATGATTACAAAATCTGCAAAGAAATGGTTTCTTAGTTAATAAAAGTTATATTATAAGTTTTGTATTTTTAAATACAGGTTATGTTAACTTGATGTCCAAATAGTATCTTCCTTATATGCATATACACACATTCCAAATGAGTTCAGCCCATCTCCAGGTTTAATACTATTTCATCTGTTTTTTATTTAGGTGGAGATTTTCCAAGAGCACGAGTTCCCTAACCCTAAACCAAATTGGGCTTCTCCAATATTCTACTTAATTATAAACAGTTGAGGACAGAACATTCATCTCCATAGTACCTAAAGCACATTCTTAAATAAGCATATGTTTAATTACTTTAAAAATGCTTCTATTAGAAGAAAAACAAAAATATACACACTGATCTTTACCTAGCCATCTGCTTTTTCATCCTGTGGACCCTGTCTCTCCACTTGGTTGCTGAGAAGCTTCAGGTTAACGAGTGCTCTCTGGTCAGTAGACAGAAGCTTATGGCAGGTGTTTTTGTTTGTTTGTTTGAGACAGAGTCTCACCATGTTGCCTAGGCTAGAATGCCGTGCCATCAGCCTAGCTCACAGCAACCTCAAACTCCTGGGCTCAAGCGATCCTCTCGTGTCAGCCTCCTAAGTAGCTGGGACTACAGGCATGTGCCACCACACCCGGCTAATTTTTTCTATATATTTTTAGTTGGCCAATTAATTTCTTTCTATTTTTAGTACAGACGGAGTCTCGCTCTTGCTCAGGCTGGTCTTAAACTCCTGAGCTCAAACTATCTGCGCGACTCGGCCTCCCAGAGTGCTAGGATTACAGGCGTGAGCCACTGCACCCAGCCATGGCAGGTGTTTTGACATTAACTTCACTCCTGGCTTCCCCTTAACCCGCCTATTCTCATCTTCTCTGTTTCATATTCCAAATCTACTTATTCTTTATTTAATCTTAGATTGTACATATTTATTCAAATATCTTAAATCCCAACTCAGAAATGAGAAAGAATTTTCTTCTTTTCTTTTAAAAGAGGGGAGGGTAGTACTTATATTATTGATAACAGAAACAGTTCCTTGGGGTTAAAAATGGGAAATAAAGATTATAAATTAAATGGTCTTTTAGTCCCCAACAACTTTTCATAAAAATGAAAGTAATTATTTTTCATTTCCATTATCACATATTTTAAAAAGAAGACTGAATTTATATAAAATCTTTACAATTCTGATATTGGTTTAGTCACTGCAGAACTTAAAACTTGTATAATATTCTCTGAACAAGCTCCTTTATTTTTCTTATTCCCATTAAAACTACTTGCTACTGGTACCATTCAAAAAGTCTCCAAATCAGAGACTGTTGCTTTCTATTGAAGCAAAATGTTGCCCTCCCCTAATATTACTGCACATTCTTTCCAGTAAACTGGATATTTTTCTTTCATTTTCTATATTTAAAAATGAAAACTGATATTAAAAGGCTTCTCCAAACCAGGAAGAGATATTATGAAAATACGTAATTTAAAGGAAAATTCTCTATCTTATCAAAATGAAGGTCAAGAGAGAGAAAGATGGTTGAGCATTTTTAATACTAGAGAGCGCTAGCAACCCACAATGTTTTAAAGGTGCCATAAACTTCATGGAATGCTAAAGTAACACTCAGTATCTAAGAGCAACCCATCCCACAGGGCCAGGAGCAAAAAGGATCTTGTTACACAGGACAGAAACCCCTGAGACAGCACATTAACTGGCAAGTGAGGGAGTGCACTCCGACACGGTAGCGGAGGCCCACTGCAGCAAGATGAGTGTCACGACAGTGCAGTGGGCAAGAGGGAAGTTAAGGGCATGAGATCAGAGAAGTAGTCAGGAGCTGGATCACACGGGGCTTTAAAGCCATTGTAAGAGTTTGGTTTTTATGATTCTGATGAGAAACCACCGGGAGGTTTTGAAGGGAAGTGAAAGTTCTGATTATGTCTAAAAAAAATATCACTTCAGTGCGAAAAAGACTGTGGAGGAGGAAGGGCAGAAGCAGGGACTTTACAGTCATCTAGGCTTACTTTAGAGAGGGAGGGAAATGTGAGCAGACCTGAGCTATCTTTTCAAGGTAGACTCAACAGAGTGTGCTGGATACTTGGATGTGGGGGTCTGAGCTAAAAAGAGGAGTCAAGAGTGATTTCTTGAAGTTGCAGACTTCTTGAATGGCAGTAAGGTTTACTGAGACAGGAAGGCAGCTGAGGAGGAAGCAGAAGGGAGGACTAGGTGGGTCTGGTATCAGTAACTCTGTACATAAGAAATGTGAATGCCTATCAGACTTCCAAGTGGAGATGTTGAGTAACCAGCTGGATGTACACATCTGGAGCTCAGAAGAAAAGTAAAGCTAGAGACAAACATTTGGAAGCCATCAACTTACAGATGTGATTTATACCCATGGAATATGGCTTGGGGTAGAAATTCCCTTGGGAGAAAGTATGGCTAGAAAAAGAATCTGGCCAAGAGCTGAGCCCTGTGGTATTCTAACATGTAGCCTGGAGACACCAAGGAAGCGGAAGGAAATGCAGGAGAATGTGGTGACCTGGAAGCCAAGTGAAGAGGAAAGTATGCTAGAGAAGAAGAGGATTAGTGAGTATCAGTGAAGAAGTATGAATACGAAGGAGGAGGGAGTGATCAACTGTGTCAAATGCTACTGAGGGTCAGGAAAGATGAGAACTGGGCACTGGATTTTTTAAGATGGTGATACTGAGAGCATGTAGGGGGTAACAGGGACAGAAAGTCTGAGATGAGAGGGGATAGGAGGAAATGGAAGTGAAAATAGAGAGTTAGAGGCAAATCTTTCAAAGAGTTTGTTTTGTTGTGTTTTTAATAAAAGAGAGCAAAGAAGTGTGGTGGGACCTAGACTGGGATGTGGGGTCCAGCGGGGGATTAAAGACAAGCGATTTAACAGTAGATATTTGTTAAATGAATAAATTTTAAAAATAACATGAGGAACAAATGACTCAGCAGATGAGGTGCAGAGGATCCAACAGTATAAACATGGTTTATACTTCAAGTCCCATCAATTGGATATACAAGTAACATTTACTTTGCTTCAAATTTAGGTAAGTCATTATTCTATATCTGCTCATCTATTTTCTAACTTGAATGAGATATAAAATGAAGTCGCTTAACTTCACTTATAGCGTTAAAAGGTAAAAATCATATTTTTAAAGTCTGACTTTCTTTTTAAAAAACGTTTACTGCTGTGGAAAACTGGAGAGGACCTAATTAATCTAACACTGAAAACTAGCTCACAGCTGCCAGCCCACATGATTTTCATCCAAATTAGCTTTGCACAAGAAGCCCCCAAATAAGAACACCCAGACCCAGACCTTCGCGCCTCTGTGTGCCCAGGTGAGGCTCGCCTAGAGCCTTTTAGTCGTTTAAGTCGCTGGGCTATTTGCTTATGGTTCTGAGGTTTTTTTCAAAAATGGGTTTTCCAGTCAAAATGAAACATACAGAAAGTCAGAGAGTTGCGTGGATTTTCCCTCCAGAGGCGGGCAAGAGACCGTCCGGCTGCAGGGGCGCCTGCGCCCACCGCCCCGGCGCGGCCGCCCGTACCTGCCTGCCCCGCGCCCGGCCGCCCGTACCTGCCTGCCCCGCGCCCAGCCGCCCGTACCTGCCTGCCCCCGCGCCGGCGCCGTACATGCCTGCCGCGCCGCCGCCGGCGCCGGCCCTGCCTGCCCCGCGCTCGGCGCGTACCTGCTGCCCGCGCCGGCGCCCGGTACATGCCTGCCCCGCGCCCGCCCGCCCGTACCTGCCTGCCCGCCCAACGGCCGCCCGTACCTGCCTGCCCCGCGCCACCCGCCGCCCGTACCTGCTGCCCCGCCGCGGCGCCGTACCTGCCTGCCCCCGGCGCGGCCGCCCGTACCTGCCTGCCCGCGCGGCGCCGTACCTCCCTGCTGCCCGGCGCGGCGCCCGTACCTGCTGCGGCGCGGCCGCCCGTACTGCCTGTCCCCGGCGCGCGCCCGTACCTGCGCCCGCCCCGCCCGTACTGCCGCCCCCGGCGCGGCCGCCCGTACCTGCCTGCCCCCGGCGCGGCCGCCCGTACCTGCCTGCCGCCGGCGCTTGCTGCGTCTTCCTCCCGCTGAGCGGGCCCGTCCGCGGGCGACCGGCCCAAGGCGCCGCGAGGAGGGTCGTGCGGTTCGCGGCGGGCCGCGCAGCCCGTCCCCACGGCCGCGCCCGGACGCGCGGAATCGCGGCCCGCGGAGCCCCGCGCCCCAGGAGCGCGCCGACACGCAGCCCGCGGGCTCGCCGCTCGCGCCGCTGCGGGCTCGGCGAGGCTGGTGGGGCAGCCCGGCCGCTTCGAGTCAGGGCTTACCGTCGCTGGATCACTCTTGGCAGGAGGAGGAAGCCCGTCAAGAAGGGCGGAGTAGGGGAAATCGCGAAGGGGAACTGTCACTGAGGCAAGTGTGGCCTCTCCCTGCGCTGATATTTTTTTTTAATGTTCCCCGACTTGGAGTTCCAGAGAAATGGGAAAAGGGATCCCACTGTGTCTGCTCCTTCCAATACGAACAAACCCCACCCTTTTAGAGGTACAGGGACTCTCCCAGTTCACCAAGATGGTCTCTTGACTTTTCCTGACCCTTTTGGCGCCTTGACCACATCAGCCCCTGCCCCCAAAAGCCACCCAGAGAAAGATTTCTTTTCTTGGGTTCATTTTCCACAACCAAAACAGACCGGAACCTCACTTTATATTAATGGAGAACAAAAATCAACCAAGAAAAAGAAGTATAAAAAGCCTTACTAAGCCAAAAAAACCGATCTTACCATTGCTACCTCAGGCTCCCAATTCTAGAGTCCAGTTCAGAAATCTTCCCCTTTTCCTTTTATTTAATAATTCTCAAGCAATCCCTACTCCTTGCCAAAGGAGTGGAACCCAAGTTACCAAACTTCAGAGGAGAATGTGGATAGTAAATTGGGGTTGAAGGTCCACACCTGGGTCTCAGAAGCATAAGACAGGTAGGGCTAAGAGTTATTTTCTCCTCATCTGCTCTCATCCAACAATAGGATGGATCGTTGAAGCTGAGCACTAGCAGATAGTAATGACTTGGTGAAATGCCACTGTATAGTCAAAAATACCATAAGCACCATGTCAACACAATTCATTATTCACAGATACTTATTTCTCCCTCACTCCACTTCCCAACAATTCTATCCAAGCTCTTTGAGTAGACAGTGGCCTCCTTGTTACTAAATCCAACTGATACTTTTGTTGCCCTCATTTCTCCTGGGAGTCTCTCTTTGGCAACTGACAAAGTTCACCATAGTCTCCCAATACTCTATTTCTTTGATGTTGACAACCAACCCTACTTTGCCTTTAGGCTTATCCTGCTTGTTAAAATTCTTCTTTTTGTTTCCTATGCCTGTTCCTTTTTCTCTGGCAACCCTTCAAATCAGTCCTTTTCAAACTTTTTCACTGAAATACTGCCAATGATAGATTCGATAAACATGTATTTTCCTATTCACTACACATGTCACATGCATAAATGAGGCTGAAGTCACTAGTGTCAAGGGCAAATATACTTGAGTTGTTTCATTTTATCTCAGAAATTGCTCCAAATTTTGCATTGTTCTTCATAATATATTCACGTTATACTAAAATATTTTAAATTGGTTGTAAGTTTAATTGCTTAACATTTTCTCTCCAAATTTTCAAGAAAATGCACCAATCACTAATGCTACAAATATTTAGAGTGACTTCCATATGCTAGGCATTACGGATATAGTGTGAACAAGAGAGATGTGGTCCCAGTCCTCATGGACATTTTATAGTCTAACCTGAGACAGACATAGAAACAAGCAAGACAATTTCAGATCCATGTGTTGATCATGGGGATGGAGGATCTTCCTGGTGAGCAGAATTTATAGCTATTTATCTGGTTATCCATGTGCAAGAAAGGAGGGATGGGCCTGAGTAGCTGATAAATATACTGACTCATAGGCAGTGTCTAATGGATTGTCCAGCTTTTAGGAAAGAACAAAATTAAAAAAAAAAAAAACAGTAAAAGATCTGTTGGTGAGACTTATAGATGACATAGCTCTTGAAATGGTTAGAGTGTGAAGATATTCATGTCTCACATAAGTGCCTAACAGGAGGCATCCAGGTGTTGGAGGCTCTCAATAATAAGGAGAGCAAGATGCACTATCTTGTGGATGTCAGTCACTTTCGCCAGCCAAACCAGGGCTCGGTTGATGGGCCTATGAACAAAGTGGCCATCGCAACAGAGATAGAGTTTCGAAAAGATGGTCTTTTCTTCACCCAGGATATATGGCTACCACCATTGCTGAGTGTCCAACCTGGTAACATCATAGAGTGTGATATTTCAACACTGGGTCCCTAATATGGCATTATTCTCAATGGGACCTCCTGGCGACCTGGTAGCATCTTGATTACAATGGACAACTTCCATAAGAGAATAGGTAGCACTTTGTCTTCACAGGGATAGTTCACATTGTGGGTGTGACTTTGCATTCACTGCATGCAGTGTTTCCACCATTAATATTCTTGACATTACCGAGGTTCTTACCCATTGTGTAGGAATCCCACGAAATACTTCTTCCAACCAGGTACGCAGTTCATGGCAAACGAAGTGAATTCACTGGTTGTAACACATGCTTCATCCTCTAGAAGTAGCTGGCTTGACAGAACAGTTAAATGACAAAATGAAAGCTCAGTTACAGAGATATCTGGGAGACAACATCATGAAGTTGGGGTGCTGTCCTATAGAATGTGGTATATTAATTGAATAAGTAGTCAATATGTAGTGTGAGAGGGTGGGAGGAGGAATGTTTCCTTTCACTATTATACCTAGGAATCTACTTGACTAAATTTTGCTTTCCATTCCCAGTGTTCAGCTTGGAGGGTTTAGAAATTAAGAGTCCAAAAGTAGAACACTTGCATCAGGAAACACAGTCATGTTCTGATGATTCAGGAGATGAGACTGACCCTAGCCTTTCAGGGTTCCTCATGCAATTAAACCAACAGAAAAGGTGGTCAACGGACTTGCCAAGGCAACTAATTCCAACTGCCAAAGGAAAACTGTGTTGCTGTTATACAATGGAAACAAGAAGGCTATATCTGGAAACTAGGAAATTCACTGGAGTCCCTCTTTGTACCAATAGTCCTAGTCAGTTGAACACTGCAGTAACCCGATAAAGACAGGCCCACTAAGGGCTCAATTCTGTAGAAATGAAGACTTGGGTCACCTCATCAGATAAAGAATCCCATCAAATCAAAATTCTGGAAGAAGATAAGAGGAACATGGTATGTTGATGGAAGAAAGCAGCTGTGATTACTAACTTAAGCTTTGTGACTAGCTACAGAGTGAAAGTTTTAGTGATAGTTTTATTATGGTACTTATTTTTTTCCAGAAATTAAAGAAATAGAAAACAGAAAAACAATACAGTCAATAAAACCAAAAGATATTAATAGTTTTGGGGGAAGATCAAAATCAATAAACTTCTGGCTGAATAAGGAAAGAAAGAGGGAGGGAGGGAGGGAGGGAAGGAAGGAAATCAGACACCAATATCAGAAATGAGAGAAGTGACATTCTACAGATATTAAAAAGTTAATGAGGGAAGATTATCAATAACTTTATGCCAGTAAGATCAACAATTGAAATGAAATTAAAAAAAATTCTTAAAAGACAAACTCACTGAAGGAAAAACAGATAACCTATTAATAGCCCTAAATCTATTAAAGAAATTAAAGTTGTAGTTAAAAAGCATTCCCACAAGAAAGCAAAAACAACAAAAAAACCCACAAACTCTATGTCCAGGTGGCTTCTCTGGTGACTTCTACTAAACATTTAAGGAGGAAATAATACAAATTCTACACAAACTTCTGAAAAATTCAAGAAGAGGGAATACTTCTGAAGTCATTCTATAAGGCCAGCATTAGTATCTTACCAAAATAAGATATGTCCTTTAGGAAAGAAGGTAAAATTAAGGCATTTTCAAAAAACAAGAATTAAGTGAATTTGCCACCAGCTGACCTGCACTAAAGTAAATTCTAAATCTATAACACAACCCTCTTAGTAATGAAATTGAGATGTATACCAAAAAAACCCTCAGATACTTAAACATGATTAAAATGAACATAATTAAAATGATTAACAGACATATATAGAACACTGTGCCCAATAACTGCAGAACAAACTTTATTTTCAAGCACACTAAAAATTTACAAAAACTGGCCACTTAGGCTATAAAGCACTTAGCAACATATTTCAAAGAATTTAAATCATATGGAGAATATATTCTCTGATCACAATGCACTTATGTTAGAAATCAATAATAAAAGAAAACTTAAAGATCCATGTTTGGAAATTAAAAATTCTATTTCCAAATATTATCTGTGAATTGAAAAAACAGTGACATAGAAAATCATTTGAAATTAATGAATAACTAAAACGCTAGATATTGAAACTTACAGAATGGAGCCGGTGTTGGGCAGAATTCTAAGATGGTCCCTCACAACCTTCCCCAGATCCATACCCATACCCTTGTGTGAACAAACCCATAACATGCTTTTTACTAAGAGAATATGGCAAAGGCAAAAGGACTTTGCAGAGGCAATGAAGGTCCTTATCCAGCCGAGTTACTCAAAAGGGAGATTATCCCAAGTGACTCTGACCTAATCAGGTGAACTCAGCCAGGGTTTCCAGGCTGGCCTTAAACAGGCAGAGTCATGCTGTGAACTGCTTATACACATGAGCAGCCTCAAGTAGCTGAGAGCCTCAGTTCTACAAGGAACTGAAAGAATTTTGTTAACAACCTCATGAGTTTATAAGAGGACTCTGAGCTCCAGATGAGAATGCAATTCAGCTGACTTTACAGCAGCTTTGCGACACCCTAAGCAGAGGACTTAGGTAAACCATGCCCAGACTCGTGACCCTTAGAAATTGTGAGATCATAAACTTATGCCATTATAAACTGGTAAATTTGTGGTAATTTATTACACAGCATAGGAAACTAACACAGAGACACAGTAAAATTTGGATGGAAATCGATAGCTTTAAATATGTAAATCAAAATAGAAAGTTGAAATTTTGAGCTAACCATCCCCTATAATATAGAAAAATGACAAACTAAACCGAGAAAAGAAAATCATAAAAAGCCAAAATCAACATATCAGAAAATAAAAATATATAAAGAAGAAAAACAATGAAAATATTGGCTTTCTGTGAAAAAAACAACAAATGTGATATAGCTCTGGTAAGACTAGTCAAGTAAGAAAAGATACAAATAATACCAGGAATGAAAAGGGTAATATCATTATAGATCTGGTATATGTTAAAAGATAAGAAGACAGGAATAACATTGTGCTAATAAATTTGAAAGTGCAGATTAAATGGAACGATTTGCAGGAATATTCAATTTACGTATACTACACAAGAAAGAGAAAACCTGAACTTTATTAATAAAAAGAAATTGAATCCCTATCCCAAAAAGAAGACACCAGGCCCCAAACACACTTTATCTATGATTTCCAATAATCATTTAAGGATTAAGTCATGTAAATCTTATATACAAGTTCTTCCAGAAAACACAAAAAGAAAGTCACTTTCCAACTCATTTTATAAGGCTTATACAGCCCTGATATTAAGCAAACGTTTTTTAAAAAACCAAATCTAGCTATTAAAGACAAGCCACATCATAGCCAAGCGGTTTTACCCCAGGAAGAGGAGGTTGGTTTAACAACAGGAATCCAATTCATATAACTGCCCACATTAAGAGAATAAAGGCAGAAAAATTCCAATTTTCTCAATAAATACAAAAAGAGCTTTTGATAAAATTCAACATCATTTATGATTATAAAAAACGCTTAGCCAACTAATAGAAGGGAAATTCTTAAATAATAAAAACACTATAAAACGCTTATAGGATACCTTGAAAGCATTCCCAGAGAATAGGTGCAAAACAAGAATGCCTACATATAATCACTTCTATTCAACATTGTACTGGAGGTCCTCACAAATGCAATTAGACAAAAGAAAGAAAGAAAAGGTGTGAGGAATAGAAAGACAAACAAAGCTGTCATTACTTGTAGAAGATATACTAGCATATATAGAAAGTCCAAAAGAATCTACAGATAAATTACTACCATTGATTGATAAGAAAATTTAGCAAGGGTGCTGAATAGAAAAACAATTTAAGAATTATATTTCCATATACCAGAAACAAACAATGTTAAAAATTAAAGCACATCATTTATAAAAGCATCAAAAATATGAAGAAATAGAAAAGCAAGATTCATTAACAAAATATATGTTTGGAGTACTTCCATGAAGAAAATTATAAACCTTTCTCAAAAGATTTAAGGAAGACATTACAATGGAAAGATACCATTAATTCACTAGAAAATGCACTATTATAAAGAGGAACTTGTTCACAAATCAAATACAATCCCATCTGGGCTTGACCAAGCATGCTCTAAGAAAAAAGAAAGAAAGAAAGAAAACAAATATAATCCCAATCAAAATCCTAACAGATTTATTTTGTTTTTTGTTGAAACTTGCTGTGCTAATTCTAAAATTTGTACAAAAATTTAAAGGACTGATGAGAGCCAAAATCTTGAAGAACAAGGTATAAAAACACTTGTTTTACAAAATATTAAGATTTTAAAGCTTTAGTAATTAAGACAGTATGCTATTGGTATATGGGCAAAATAATCAATGGGATAAAACAAAGCTCAGACATAGACTCAAGTAAACATGAGTATTTAATAGATGACAGAAGTGGCACGTTCAATCAACAAAGAAAGATGACTTTTCAAGAACTGGGGGGAAAAAGGGAACCTAGTTACCTACCTCACCCCATACATAAAATTCTAGCTAAAATGGAAGACAAAACTATACATATTTTAGAACACAATACAGAAGACATTCATGACCTCAGGACAGAAAAAATATTTTTTAAACAAGACGCAAAAACACCAACAATAAAGACAAAGATTGATGCATTTCATTAGGATCAGAAAGATAAACAAGAACTAAGAGAAGACATTTGAAATAGCAATAACCAAAGGATTAGTATCCTGAACATACAGAGGAATCCTGTTAAAACCAAAAAAGTTAAACAATCCAATTTTTTTAAATGGGCAAATGATTTGAAAAAGGATATCATAAAAGAGGAAATACAAATGGTAAATAATCTGTGGAAAAAATAATTAACCTAATAGAAATGCAAATTAAGCAACAATGAGGTAGCATTAGAAGCCCAGAAGATTTTCAAAAATTTTGAAGTCCCACAATACCAAATGTGGAACCTTTCAATGCTGCTGGTGAAAGCACTGGATTGATATAATTACTTTGGAAAAGTTAGGAATTATCTAGTAAAGCTGAAGGTATACTTTGACATATACTATGATCCACCAATTCCATTCTTAGATGTATTCTCAAGAGATCATACACATGTGCAACAAGGCATATATACAAGGATGCTCAGTGGCTTTGTTCATTCTAGCAAAAAACTTGGAACAAACCAAATTCCTTCACAGAAGAGACACATTACTGTAGTATATCAATAGAATGGACTACCACACGGTAATGAAAACAGATTCTAGCCATGTGCATCACCATAGTTGACACTAGCTGTTGAGCAAAAGTCACAAAAGAATACATGCAATAGTCTATTAAGATTTAACATACATTTTATTAAACTTTATTAATGTTCACTTCTGCCTCATTTTTTTAATAGTGTTTTTAAGGAATGCCAATATTAGTATTACTGAAAAGTGTGGTCCCATACTGTTCAGTGAACTGTTTCTTACTGGCTGATGAAGATTAAGCACATGAAGTAGGAGTAAGCATGCATAGAGAGTAAGCATTTAGGAATGCTGGTATCAAATTGACATAGCCAATACACTGAAGCATGTGATTTTGTACTTATTAATAAAAACTATCAGTTTATGATGGCTTGGAACTTTAAATACTTACAAGCAGAACACTGGTTATCTCTAATGGGGTGATTCAGGAATGTGAGCAGGAAAGGATACAGAAGAGCTTTCTAAAGTATTAGCAATATTGTATTTCTTAACCTGAGCACTAGATATATGAGTTTTATAACTTTATTTCTCATTAATTTGTACATGTTGAATATCCTGATAGATTTCAAAATTTTTTAAAATTGTGTTATAAATAGTATAATACCGATTTCTTTAAAATATACACAAGTATCTATAAAAATAATTGAAATACGCCAAAATGAATGATGGGATTATGAATAGACTTTATTCTCTGCATCATTTTATGTTGTTATATATTTTTTAAGGTAATAGTGATCATTACCAGCACTAAATACAGATTCTGCCATACCAGTATTACTTCTAGTATAATGGATTTCAGCAAGGAATCTAATTACTGGTGATGATAAAAATAGGATAACATCCTTGTATTTTCCTCTAGAATCTGGAAACTTCTATTTCTATTATCAAATTGTAATATAATGAAATAATTATACAACTCACCATAGGTTGGGGGCCCCTATTCTTTTCTTCCTCTAGCACTTTATAAGTGTCTTGGACCCTTAAGAGATTATTCTTCTTCAATACTCCTATACCCTAGTTGCTCATATAGCTACTGTATCTCCAACTAGGTTATATTTCTGGAGGTCAGACTTTGTAATTCATTTTTGAGGCTTCTAGCAGACTGTTATGTATGTGCATGATAGACATGCAAACAATTTCATATTTGTGTTAAGTATTGTTTAAGACCCACATGAAGAACCTTAAAGCACAGTAAGAAGTTTAGCAACTAAAGATGAAAATAGAAATATTCAGTTAATAAAATCCAAGGAGACACAACCATGACTTGAACTTAGCTATGACTCCAAAGCCAAAGCACTGAACTGCTATTGATCTATAGTGAAAGCAAGATAGCTAAGCCTTCAGAGATCTAGCCTTATTGGTGTTTGTAAGGCAATAGTGGTTGAGAAAGAGGGCTCTAGAGACAGACTGCTATGATTCGTATTTGGATTCTGCTAATTACTATGTGATATAAGCAGATTTCTTAACCCTCTATGGCTCAGTTTCCTCATTGGTAAAATAGAAATAATATCCCTAGTTCATAGGATTATTGCAAAAATGAAATGTGTCAATACAAGCCAAATAATTAGCATAGCACCTAGCACAGGGTAAGCATTCAATATTAACCTATATTTACCATTATTTCCCTATATTTACTGTTATTTTCTTGTTACTTTTGGAGAATTGTGCCCAGGATCCAGAATGTCCCCTCTGACTGCATTATGAAGATGAAGAAAAATACTGACACAACTGGGTATCATACAACCTAAAATTAACTTACTTAAAAATTAAGACCTCTTTAGAGCAACCAATGGCTTAACTGCCTTTTACCAATACAAACTTTCAATAAGGAATGCAAAGAGGTTAAACATGAGGCAGTGCAGAGGTGGTACTTCTCTTCTTTAACTCTCTTTCTTGACCAGTCCTACAGATGTTTTGCTAAAATACCAAATAAATAATCACTCTCCTTACAAAACTGTCCTCCAAGCTGTAAGTTTACAAGGAACTGTGTAAAGATTTAAATCCTGACAGAAACAAATCAGTCAGTTTGTTGAAAGATTTTTTTTATTCTACAAGAAATTGATTGGTGCAATCCTGTTAGAGAAATTTTTTCTTTTCAAATGAAAAATGCTTTTGAATTATTTACATATTAATTTGTTTAATTTTTGAAAACAATAGTCATAGGGCCTGCTTTGTCCTATTTAACTATAAATGTTACACATTTACAAACTGAAACAAAAATGGATAGTACAGAGATTTAAATGAAATCTTTCAAAGAATAAAACTTTTTCAGTCCACTATATTTTCAGAGTTGATTATCATCAAGCCTGGATGAAAGTTGTGAACCACAAACCATTTGCTGCTTTAATAGAAAAAAGAATATTCAGATTATTAGCAAAGTAATATCTTAAAATGTATCTTCACACAGTTGAAATTTTAGTATAAACTTGTATATCAAGTCACTTTCCATTATTTATTCTACTTTAAAAATATATACAACTATGATGTTCAAATATGTATTCTGAGCCATTATGTCCAAACATAAATATTTGGGAAATTCAAATTGCTGCAACAAGTCACAAAAGAATTAAGGAAAAATGATGAGCTACAATTTATGTATTAGGAGGAGGAAGAAAATGTTACTTAACATTAATGTTTGAAGAGATATGTATTTTCTAATTTATATACATATATCAAGTTGAGTATAGACAGCCATCAAAATTTAACCAGTTTACATAGAAACTAGACTAAGCCCACACTATTTTCTACAATAGGTAACAGTGGTGATTTAAAAAATTTTAATGTATTTCAGTACTTTTCTCAAATATTATTTGTGGTAATAGTCTAATATCATGAAGTTTTGAGAGGTACAGATTAAATGAGTGCACTATCTATGCCAAACTTGGCAAGATCTATACCTGACTTTGTTTAATTACAGTATAAGTTATCTAACAGAATAATGTAGATGGGCAACCAAAAAAGGACATTTTACATACGTTCATGTTTATCAACACCATTAACATTAGTGCTTAAAACTTTCAAATCTAAATATGAAGGGACACTTGTAAGGCTGCAGGACAACTTCAATACAAGAACCTAAATAGATAAATCTGCAAAATCTTAAACTTTACTTCTTATTGATAAATGTTGTTTTAGGATTAGCTATTTGCTCTCCAAAAATCTTAAAATTAAAGAGTTGAAAACATGTTTACTCCTTGCTACACTGTGGCATCTGAAATTAGCAAGCATGATAACAACATGAATTTGTTTGCCCTTACACGCAAGAAGTGTACATATGCATTTTAAGACAGCATAAAATTAAGAGTTAACGTCTAGTCTGTAATGGTAAGTGACTAGAATTGCTATCTAATAGGCATTCTATGGTATCACATATCAAAGTCTCTATAATATATAGACAGTCTTGTTCAGGAATCATCACCTTTGGGTAGGGAAGATAGGCATGGCAGAAAAGCAGTTGCAATTTTTTTTTAAACAGAAAAGCTTTAAACATCTATACAATTTTGCATCATCCTGTATTCTATTCTAGAATTCCTGGAACAAAATCTTATTTCAATCAGCTCAATCTATACAAATTATAATAAGATACAAACACAGTCTAAACCCTATATTAGAGAGTATATGCACTATTTAATACTCATTAAACTACAATCAATGAAGATTACCAAACAGGAAACACACAGAATTCTAAATTGTTAAATTATTTTAAGGTTGCTAACCAGAGATTACCAAAATAAAATGTGCAAGACAATAACAAAACAAAGAAACTAACTTCTCAGTGTATCACATCCAACAGGATAAAATACATGGCACTTACATGATACCAGTATTATAATTGTCAATTTAAGCTGGGAATGATGGGGCAAGAACCAGCTAATTAAAATGTTAAAATTAAACAGATAACCTTTTTTCTTTGTAAAAGCACTGAAAATGTAATGAGTGCAGCCAACTCAATTAAAGTTTTCCCATTTCATTTGCTCCCGCTGTAGTGTCTTAAATTATTCTATAACTATTCTACCTGTTATAACAGTCTGATATTTAAGGCCTATGTAAATTCTATTATGCTACTGAAACATACTGTTCTCTGTGCAGTAAGAATGCCCTGATGAAAAAATTACACAGCTGGTTATAAATCATAAAATAAACCCAAAAAACAAAAATCTGACATTTTCTAAGCTGAAAAATAAATTATACCACGATGTATCAATTAAAAATTCTATCAATATTAACTAATAATCCTATAGATTTTTTCCCCCCATAAAAAATAGGGGACTAGGGAGTGGGCTATAGTTAATCACATTTGGTTTTCTTAAAAGCAAAAATTTATTTACTATAAACAATCAAAAGGCAATTTTCTTCCTCCATAACACATGTAGACATTAAATCTAAGGTTTTAAAATATTGACTAGCTATAAGAAAAGTACTTTTAAATGGTTAAAAGGAATCAAAATACCAAAGTTTAAGTGTGTGAAGAGTAGATATAAACAACTGAGAAAAGAGTAGATCATTGGTGTTGAATATTTAACATGAATAGCCCAAAATAAGTTCCAAAATTTTTCTACCTTTACAAATAAAAAAGGTGTCCTTTCCACAGTTTGGGGATATGCATTGTACATCCCTCCCAACAAGTATATGCATAAGATTTTAAAAATGTTGTCAATATTAAGTTCTTCAGTACCTAAAATTAATTAGACAGCAATATTACAGTGGCAATGGTGTGTCAATTCTCGTGTTATGATCCAACACGAGTTGTAGTGGTTCTTTTATCTGAGAAAAAGCTTTTCAAAAGAAATACCTGCCCTATGCTAACCACCAAAAGAATGAGGGCTTCTCCGACTGACCAATAGGCCACTCTTGTATTTAGATCCTCTGCTCGGCTTCGGCCTTGAGCTTCTCTCAAACGGAAATGAGTCTGATAGTCGATGACAGACTTTAGAGCTTCATGAATTGAAACACAGGCAGATTCCATCTAAAGGGAAATATTTTCAGTTAGTATATGTTTAATACTTACTGTATATTCCATCTAGCATATTCATCTTTTCTTTCAATTTGATATCAATTCCTCATTTGACTAACATTCTACTAAACTGGCATTCATTCATTCACTCATTTACCAGTTGTCCCAGCAATGCAACCCTTTTACTCATTCCTACTAGGACAACTGGTAAGGCTAGAGATCCAATGAAATGGCTGTTTTACCCAAACTAGGATGTCACATCAATAAGGTGAAAAATGGAACACTAAGCTAACAAGAGCAGAAATACTTATCAGCTAAGGTTAGTGGCTATAGAATTTCTAGCGCAGGTTCTTCAAAGAAAAATTAGGAGGAAGAGAATGGCAGTTAAGTTCATCAATATAAGCACGTAAGTCAAAGCATTCCCATGGTGTTCCTCTATCCTCTCTATTTCTTGTAAATTGACAGTTGGAACTAAACATGATGAGATTCAGGTATAATGTTCTGGCCAAGAACATCTTGTAGTCAGTGTTGTGTACTACCTTTTTTTTTTTTTTTGAGACAGAGTCTCACTCTATTGCACAGGCTAGAGTTCCATGGCATCAGCCTAGCTCACAGCAACCTCAAACTCCTGGACTCAATCAATCCTCCTGCCTCAGCCTCCTGAGTAGCTGGGACTACAGGCATGTGCCACCATGCCCAGTTAATTTTTTCTATATATATTTTTAGTAGAGACAGGGTCTTGCTTTTGTTCAGGCTGGTCTCAAACTCCTCAGTTCAAATGATCCTCCTACCTCGGCCTTCCAGTGTGCTAGGATTACAGGCGTGAGCCACCATGCCCAGCCCAGCTGTACTTCTTATTGCATATTATCACAAGGCACATAATGTCTAGTTATCTCTCCATTAGTAAATTAGATTTAGGTGATAGCAGTTGGATCCATCATTATAAAGTTCCCTACCAGCCTTTTACCTAAAAGTTTTAGCAGTTACTGGTGATCATTGCCTACTCTAGATCTATCATTTTATTAATGGGTAAAAAAATGGTGATAGGAAAAAGTAAATGATAATTTATTCTGCATGTAACTGATAATTTTTTTCAATTTTAAAGTATGAACATAGTATCCCTACTATGTGAGAGACTTAGTAGCTTTTTGAAAGTACAGAAATACGACTAAGAAAAAATAAAAAATGATACAACATGTGATATGAATAAAGGAGGCTAAGTGGTACTAACTGCCTTATTACTATTCATTTCTTTATTTACCCACTTAGGTTTGTAGAGCAAGTCACCTTCTTATACAAGTCAAAATTCATGAAAGAATGGATACAGGTTATTTGCCCTAAAGAAAAACCATTTTACAAAGCTAAGTGCCTTTCACACAGGATCTTAAAATAAAGAAAACATTTCTAAAATTAAGAGCATTTGACTACATCTTGCTAATGTTTAAAATAGGCTTATGAATTAAGGCTCTTACACATTCTTAAAACTACCTCTATCATCACTTTGGCCAACAGACTAAATGTAACCTGGGAACACTGAAATATCATTTTAAGGTTTTAACAAGTAGGTGATAACTAATTCATTTTGATGCCTAATTGAGTATCTTTTAGATATAATCTAGGTCCATACAGATTGAGCTTCCCTTATCTAAAATATCTGGGACCAGAAGTGTTTTGAATTTCAAACGCTTTTGGATTTTGGAATATTTGCATATACATAATGAGATATCTCAGGGATTGCACCCAAGTGTAAACATGAATTTACTTATATGTCATATACACCTTATACACAGCCTGCAGGTAATTATATACAATATTTTTAATAATTTTGTGCATGAAACAAAGTTTGTGTACATGAGGTCAAGTGTGTAATTTTCTACTAGTTGTGAGTTTGAAAAAGTTTTGGGTTTTGGAGTATTTCAGATTTTCAGAATAGGGAGGCTCAATCTGAGCAGTATGTGTTCACTGGCTTTAAATTTTTTACACTCTCTTACTCATTTTATTTCTTCAAAATAAAATTCAATTTAGCTTTTGTAACTATTTTTGTTAGGTGACTTACCATTACTCTTCAACATTTTACCTAAAGATACAGCAAAAGTTATTGTAACAGCAGCTTGAGTAACACTAAGTAAGAGTATAAAGACTATTATGTGGATATATTTATACATTAATTAAGGCATCATTTTACTTCCAGTTACACTAGCCTACTAAAGTATGGTAGCAACAATCCTTCCTGGATTACAGAAAATGCTTCAGAATGCTGGAGCACTGCTTGGCCTTCCTAAATTTCCTTTACTATGATGTTTCTACCTTAGTGATCTTCCTCCTATTTTAATGTTTATTTCCTTTACACTTAAAAGTTCATAAAACTTTTTAACATTGGCTTTCACTATGAGTCTGAAGTTGTCTGTGAAATGCCTAATCTATAAGAATTAAGATAGGTTTTAAAGATTGTGTTAGTCTCAAAATTCTATGTTTATCCATGAGTGCATGATATTAACTATGCTTTTTTCCTCCCTTTAAATATACCAACATTATATTGCTAATTTTTTGTTTACCTGGGTAAGAGCACTGACTCGGTTCTCACTAGGAAACAAAGGTGGGTCTTCTCCAACTTGAAAATCAAAATATACAGTTTTATGTGTGAAAGTAGAAAATTCATTGCTGAAGCAAAATTTGTATGTCCCATTTCTGGAGGCTGTGAAGGTAAAACTATCATACTGTTTCTTCATCTCTTTGTATAACACTTTACCATCAGGATCTTCTAATCGACAATCTACATCATAGTGACCACCAGTAATCACCTGTAAGAAATTTAAAAAAACAGAAAACATCATTACAACTAACAAGTTTGAAAAATTAACCAGGTTTCCTACTAAAATGGCAATAAGGTTATGAGCAAAGAACTTTTCCTTTAACAGACAATTTTACATTTTTTTAAATTTTTACCAGTGGATGGAACTTGGGAGGCAGATTTCAGTTTAACTAAACTTTACAGAACCTGAACAAGTTTCCTCATGACAGGAGAGAACAATTAATTTACTTCAAACTAGCCAGACAACTGTGCTAGTTAACACAGGTCTATTATATCACTGAATTTTTCCAACAACCCTACAAGATTTCCAAATCTCCTACAAGAGATTTTTTTCTTTTCATTTGATAGTATAAGAAACTGGTGTTAAAGTAACCTACTCAAGATTACTCATCTAATAAGTGGGAGAGGCAGAACTTGAACTCCAAAGTCATAGTCTTAACCCTTAAGTTTACTACCATGTAAAATTTTGTCCAAAAATTTTCTCACCCAGTTTCCTATTTAGCAAGCATCATCCAACCACACACAGTGGAAAGAGCAAATCACAGCCTCAGGCACTTGTGAAGAGCCGGCCCCACAGATCATTCATTAAGGAAATTTCTTGCTAACCTCCCATAAGCAAGGACATGGAAATTCTACCTATGTCTAGCTCCTAAAACTAAAGCCTATTGGATTCCACACTAATAAGGAATTACAAGTAACAGAACTAGAGACAAGACAGGATCAGAATCAGACATTCTTCACCTACCCAGGGACATCTACATAACTGATACTTCCTTTATTTCTCATTTTATGTAAAATATAGATTTCTTGGGCCTCACAAGAATGTAGCCGCCACCTCCTCTCCCCTCTGCCTTTTACCTTCTCTCTGTATGCCTTTAAAATGCTGAAGGTTCTAACCTCCCCTTCACCCTTCAGAAAAAAAGCCACAGCTTGTCTGTGATTTGTGTTTTTCCCAGGTGCATCCCCCAAATCTTGGCCTAATAAACCTCCAGTGATTCAGGTTTTTGCCTCAGTCATTTATTTGGGTTCATAGTAGTAAAGAAGTATGATAGGTCAATCCTTTGCATAACAGGCCATGCATACTTCTCTCATAGAACTTAGGCTCATTTTACTGCCACATGACAAATGGTTGTGTTTAAGTTCTATTATAGTCAGTGATATGAAATTTGATACACATTTTGTTTTGAAATGCATTATGAAGTGAGTAATGTATTCTACATAATGATACATTCTATATAATGATACATTACTCCTTGTTTCCAGGAGTAACACAACAGTTTAAACAAAATATTGTTTAAACACTTGGGATTAAAGCAAAAATAAAACAGAGCTACATAAAGACAAGTTTGTTTAGCAGTTCATCTGGAAAGCTTGCACTTAAAGGCAAGCATATTGAAAGGTAGGTCACATGAGTCAGAAGAGAACTATAGGGCTATTTTCAAGGGCTTATGTTTAAGCAATCAGTTACAACTTGGGCCATCTGAGTTGTTCAAATAGAGAAAGGAGAGATTTTTCCTGAATAACTGGACAAGCATTATAAGAGACAAAAGGAGGGAAAATTAAAGTGGAAGGCCTCTTTACATGAGAAAGAAATGAGTAGGAAGAAAGAGGAGGAGGAGACAGGAGAAGAAACACAGACTGATGGTATCCATTTGAGAAAGAGAAGATAAGTAAGAAACATTAGGTTTGAGGGTTCCCAATCATCACGAGATTGGGTGGCACAAGCTTCTTATTTTCAAGTTTGAACCTTCTTGGTTAGCATACTGACATTCTAGATCAGTAGAACAGAGAGATCAAACTTTGGACTTCAAAGAAAGACCTGTGACTTTTGAGACCTTTTGTTACTTGACAGAGATGACAACCAAATGAACTATGTTACAAGATCATTTTGGCAATTAAATGGAATATAGTTATGTCCTTAGGAAACTGTAAAAATATGCAAACATTAACATGCAGATAAAATGTTATGACATAAAAGTGTCTTATCAGTTGGGCATTTACCACCACTCCACTCCTGCTGAAAAGTCAACAACCTTTTCTTCAAGCGAAAATAACTTAATTTTTACATATCCAATTATTCATATTTGACCATTGTACTCTGAATAATCAAACACATACAAACTGAACAGGACCAGAGCTGATCATTATCCCATTTCACTTCCATTTAATTTTAAAACAGGTGATCTCACTTCAGTTACCAGTACCCCTTTAAATCTGTCTGTTCATCTATGATTGAAACTGGATAGTCCCAAACTAAGTGTCACAGAAATCTCTCAATCTTCTTGCCTCTCTCAAATTCATCCCATTCCTAATGCAAAATCCAGACAAGACTACTGCCACAACTTCCTAAAAGATCTTCTCACAGCCCAATCTCTTCTCCCTCTAACCCAGGGTTTTCAACCTCTGTATTATTCCCATTTTGAGGTGGATAATTCTTTGTTGTAGGGGGTCTGTGTTGTCTTGTGCACTGTAGCATATTTAGCAGCATCTCTGGTCTCTACCCACCAGATGTGAGTAGCAGTCCTCCTCCAAACCTAATGCCAAATGTTTCCTGGGGTGGGGACAACCTCCCCATCTCTCCTCATCCCCTCATTGAGCACACATTTAAAACCTTTTGATAATTACCTGTGGCCTACAGAAAAATCCAAATCTGTTAATGATGGCATACTCATCCCCAGTACTTCCTCCAGGTAGCCTCACGCCTCTTTTATTGATATCCTTGCTCATTCCATGCTCCTAAAATACCAGACCACCAAAAGTCCTCTGAACAAGTCTTTGCTTTAAATCTGTACTAACAGTGGCAGTTCAACAGGGTTTGTCTGCTAAAGAAAAATCACAGGGGCCAAAATGACAAAGCTTACAAATCTAGTTTACTACAGGAAAAGAGTACTATATAAAACATCACAGCTGAAGGCTGTCTCACAGCAAGAGGTTTGGAGAGGTCAGGTATGGGTTCCTTTGTTCCCCCTCTGTGAGATCTGTGGCCAGACACATACTCTCTCTCAGATCTGGAACTGCCCAAATGTGCAAAGAAAACACCTTGGAAGCAGGGAACCCAAAATAGAGTCTTCGCTGGGTTTTTTAATATGTTGCTGGTCACATATAGGCACATTCCTGCTATATGCCCAGTCTCAACAGCAGAGCCTGTGTGTGTGTGTGTATGTGTTGGGGGAGGGGGGAGGGTGTTTCACTGACACCAGGTACAAATCATTAATCTTGCTGTTATCAATAAATAATGTTGACAAACTGGTACAAACCACCCCAAAGCCACTCGACCTACAGTCACAAAGCAAAACTATTATTATTACATAGTGTATTTCAGCGTCATGCACAAACTTTAACAAAAGAGGCAAGGCTAATTTTAGGCCTCCTGGAACTCTTACAAATGTATCTGCCTAGGGTGCCCTTTCCTCCCTACTCTGCCACCTTGTAGAGCATCTCCTATTTATCTTTCCATTCTCAGCTCTAACATCGGCTCTTTAGCTAATTTCCTGATGATCCTTCTGTCCTTTCTAGTGTGTACTTCTATTGTTGCATTTAACATTATATGACTATATGTGTCTATGTAAGTTCTCTGAGGTCAAAGTCAGTCTTATTTATCTTTGGAAGGTAGTATAATAAAGTAGTTCAGAATTTAACTTGGGACTGCATACTGATTGTGCTACTTCTGAGTTTTATATTTGGGTTTTAACCTTTCTAAGCCCCAGTTTCATCAGTAAAAAAGAAATAAGAACTATATTAATTTCATACCGAGCTTTCCTGAGAATTACATTGTCTACACACAATAGACGGTAATTTTTAGCCATTATAGTAGTATCCTTAGCACCAATCACCAAGTTTGCACATATAAAACCCCAAGATGTTTATTAAATTCGAACAAAGAAAATTTTGGCTTATACTTGTATTACAGTTCTTGCTATCTTCTTTTCTGTCCCTTGGTCCTAATCCATGAAGTTAAGCAAGCCTAAGGGCCATCCTTAGCCTCCCCTCCCTCACCCATTACAGCTAAATCATCACCAAGTCCTGTTGATTTTTACCTAGTACATTTTCTCCAATCCTTTCACTTTTCTCCTCCCCATGACTACCACCCTAGTCTAAGCTGCTATTATTTATTGCCTAGACCACCTCGATAGTCTCCTAATCAGCCTTCCACACCCACTCTGTAACACCTTACCACACCTTCTCTATTATCCATGCAGCTACCAGGAATATTCTCGTCATGTCACTGAATTACATACATAAGTCTGATGGCTTCCCACATTGTTAGGAAAAACTAAAATCCTCAAAATGGTCTAGAAAGCACTACATGGCCTGGCCCCTGCTAATAGCCTGTCCTCTGGCTCCTTATTCTCAGCCATACTGGACCTGTGTCCCTCAAATTCCCAGTGTTCACTCCTACCAAGGGCTAGTTCCTCTCCTTCCTTCCTAAAGTATTTACAATTCATCCTTTAAAGTTCATCTTAAAAGCACTTTCTAAAGGAAGCCTTCATGGATATCAAAGACCAGGTCACATATCCCTTACTTACCACTCTTAAAGCAGTTTTGATGAATGAACAGGTACTATTAAGAAGAACAGGGCCCCACGTGGTGGCTCACGCCTGTAATCCTAGCACTCTGGGAGGCCGAGGCAGGCATATCTCTAGAGGTCAGGAGTTCGAGACCAGCCTGAGCAAGAGCGTGACCCTGTCTCTACTAAAATAGAAACAAATTAATTGACCAACTAAAAATATATAGAAAAAAATTAGCCGGGCATGGTGGCACATGCCTGTAGTCCCAGCTACTTGGGGGGCTGAGGCAGAAGGATCGCTTGAGCCCATGAGTTTGAGGTTGCTGTAAGCTAGGCTGACGCCATGGCACTCTAGCCCCGGCAACAGAGTGAGATTCTGTCTCAAAAAAAGAAAAGAAAAAAGAATAGGATGAGAAGGGAATCAAGAATGATGGCAGCGACCCTGTTTTGATCATTTCTGTATCACCAGCACCTACTACTCAATAGCTGCTCAAATGTTAAATATGCCTACCAACAAAAATTGAAACACAGTAAAGACTGTTCTAACCAACTGAAGAAACCACATTCTGTTCAAGTTTCTTTTTTATATACTTCCAAAGTTCAAAAGGGGCCTCTCATTTATCACAGCAATTATTTACATAACACCTTTGGCAAATGGTTGTTCAGCTTGTAATGGAGCTCTTCCAATGACAGAAACCGCATTAACCAATAACCCTAATATTGGAAAAACCGAAAAGCAATGAAGTTAGATATTGGCAGCACTTCAAATCCAATTAAATTGGAAATGTGGGTTACACAGTGGGGGGGTTGACACTAGATACTATAAAGCAGTACTAATTTTTTTTAAGGGAAACTTTTAAAGAAGAAAGTTCAAAGGCCTTAAAAATGAAGGACATTAGAGAATGGGAAAAAAAAGTCACAGGTGGAGGAAACATTTCTGGAATTCATATATTTTAACATGAAGACGGTCTTAAACGTCTCTCGCCCAAGGTTTACAAGAGGAAAGCCAAGTGTCAGGCATCAGCTACCTACAAGTAATTAGCCAAAGGTCAGAGAAACACGGACGGGAGGGAGGCTCCCCCAGCAAGTTACAGCCCCAAACCCAGAGCCGCGAGCTGGGGCCCAAGGACTGCCAGGGAGGCCCATACCTGGAACTCGAGGGTGCACTTGGTGCCCTGAGCGATGTCCTCGTAGAAGCACTGCTTGGCGTTGTCTGGCAGCTCGAAGGTGATCTCAGAGGCGCCGCCTGGCCCTGGCACCAGCAGCAGCAACGCGAGCAGCCTGCAGCCCCAACGGCCCGCGGCGGCCGCCCAGCGCTGCGCGGACCCCGGCCGCGCCATCCTGAGACAGCGGCGGCGGCCTCGGCCTCAAGGGAGCTACGAGGAGACGCCGCGTCAGGTCTGCGCGGACTCAGCGCGCGCCACAGGCCTCAGCCCGGGCCGCTCCGCGAAAACGCTCGGCACAGCAGCTCCGAGACTCGGAGAGATTCGGAATGAGGGCGAGCCGCCGGGTTCGGGTTCGGGGCGCTGAGGAGCTGGGTAGCTACGGGCCGGGACCACTAAGCAGAGAAGCAGGAAAGGCCTCAGTTGGTCGGAAGTGGGGGGTGAGTGCCTGACGGGAAGGGGCGGGGCTTGAGGTACCTGCTCCAGCGACCCGGATGTATTGTCCTCCAGGGAGAGTAGGGAGAGGCGTTGGAGTGCTTACGTGGAAGCCCGCGAGGCGCCGTCTCTGCCAGCGTCACAGCTTGGGACGAGGGGCGGGGCCAGCTCAGTGGGCGGGGGGGGCCAGCTCAGTGGGCGGGGCGGGGCGGGGCTAGGGGAGGGGGCGTGGCCGCCACAGAGAGAGCGACGCTCTTCGAGAGCTCAGGTTTGCTTCGTTGGCTTTTGAGTTCGTGGAAGCTGAGCTCTGGGGGGAGCGTTGAGGGAGTGATGAAGGGCTCATTTTGCCCTAGGGTGCTAATCGGTGGTTGAGCGCTTTGTAATTTGCAGTTTTCTCATAAACAGTAAATATTTAGGGGAAGCAGCTGGGTAAAGGGCGCGAATTCTGAGAGCAGACTGCTTACCGGCGGTGTGACGTTGGGCCGGTTGCTCAAACTCTCTACCCCAGTCTTTGCAGCTGTAAAATGAAGATGGTAATAATACCTACGCTAGAGAATTAGTACAAGGTTTCAGTATTTGGAAAAAGCACCTAGAAGAGTGATTGACGCGTAGTAAGCACTAGATAAGCTTTTTCCTTTTCTTTTTTCTGTGCTTTCTTCTTCGTCGTCTTTTTTTGTTTGTTTAAGAGACGAGGTCTCCCTCTGTCCCCAGGCTGAAGTGCAGGGACGAAGTCATAGCTCTGCAGCCGCAAGCTCCTGGCTTCTAGCGATCGTAGGACCTCAGCTTTCCTAATAGCTGGGACTAGAGGCAGGCGCAAGCCACGGGCCTTCTAGATAAGCTTTTGTTAAATAAAAATATCTATTGAGCATTCCTTATCATCAAGCACCGTGCTAAGCACGTTACATATATTATGCCATTCTATCCTTCAAGCAACCTTATAAAATAGGTATTATTATGCCTACTTTACTAATGAGAAAATTGAGAATAAAAAATCGAGTAACTTGCTTATGATCACACCATTGGTTTGTGTTGGAGTGCTTAAAAAATAGCAGGTAATATTAATAATAGAGGCTAACAGATGGTGTTTCTTATAGTGCATTATACATTTTCTCATGCATATAAACACGAATTAGATATTCCTTTTTTTTTTTTTTTTAATAAATGACCCCAGTGAGGCTTCAATCAACAGAGAGTGAGTAGAGGGTTTTATGGGAAGGAAGGAAATAGAGGCAGATAGGAAGGAGCCAGACAAGAACAGGGAAGTGAGAAGGTGTGGGTGGTGGTGTGTGGTTGGTGGGTATGGAGGGATGGAGACGGGGGCTGCTCCCCCCAGTCCTCAGTGGCCTGGAGCAGCCAGAGCCTCCTCAGTGGGGAAGAGGAATGAAGAAGACCTGAAGTCAAGGTCCTTAGATGCTGGGAGGAGATTTGGGGGAGATTGAACCTTCCTGAGACGTGGGCAAGAAACAGAAGCATTACTTGTGTTGGCGAGTGGACGGAAGACTGAATTTGAAAGCAGAAAAATACATGGGTTCTATTTACCAACTCTAGCGTGGACAAGTAACATTGTTCTTTTAAACAAACCTCAGTTTCTTCATACATAAAATGACAATACAAAAAGGCAAAAAAGAAAGAATGGACAAGACTAAAATCACATTACACACCATCAGATAGACAAAATTTTCTAAGTGTAACAATAACAGATTGGTGTGCATATAGAGCAACAAAATCTCTTATACAGTGCTAGTGGAAATGTAAATTGGTACAACCACTTTGGAAAACAATGCACCATTATCAATAAAGTAGACTATATAGAGAAATACAGTGGGAGTGCACACACACATATGTACATTTTACAAAATTCCACTTTATGTATAGAGTATATACTTTAGAGCAGTGGTTCTCAAGGTGTTGCTCGAAGGTCTCCTGGGAGCCTCTGCAACCCTTTCAGAGGGTCTGTAATTATCTGTTTGAGGCTGGATTTTTATCATATATTTCAACCAAAACAACATATCATAACAGATTGAGTGTAAAAGGAAATTTAGTTCCCAGCTTCTTCTATGACTCTAAATAGGAAAGAGATTTATAAAAACAATGTCATTCTTCTCACTAAATTTTTATTCAAAAGGTGTAGTTATTTTTTTATTAAAAGATGTGCTATTTTTGTGAACATGTGCAGTGGGTTGAATTCTATACCCTACAAGCATGTCCAAGTCCTAATCCCCATCCCTGTGAATAGGACTTTATTTGGAAACAGTGTTTTTGCAGATGTAATTAAATTAAGGACCTCATGACTGGTGTTCTTATAAGAGAAAGGAGAGGGAGATTTGAGACACACACAGAGACACAGAGAAGAATGGGGAAGATGCCATGTGAACACATGGCACAGATTGGAGTGATATGTCTGCAGGTCAAGGAACACTAAAGATTGCTCATAGCTACCAGGAGCTAGGAGAGGACTTGGAACCTCTTCAGAGTTTCCAGAAGGAACCAACCCTGCCAACACCTTAATTTCAGACTTCTGGACTCCACAACTATAAGAGAATTAATTTATGTTGTTTTAAGCCACCAAATTTATGGTAATTTGTTATGGGATCTTCAGGAAGTTAATGTAATATGTAATGGATTTATTGTTGTTTTAAATGAATTATCAGTAAATACTTTTGAATGTCTCAGATCTCAATTTTTTATTTGAAATTTTTTAAAATTTTACATTTTAATTTCTAAGATTATGGGGCCAAAAAACAAAATGTGAAAGTCACTGCTTTAGAGAAATTCATGCACAGCTATACCAGCATATATATATACAAGAATACTTAAAGCCAAAGCCTAGTAATAGTCCCAACTGGAAATACCCTAAATATCCATAAATGTGGGTATATTCGTGAAACAGCACATATAGCAATGAAAATGAACAGATCATAGCTGTGCAGGATGATGAAGGGGAATCTTAACAAATATTATGCAAAGTAAGCTAGGCAAAAAAGAAATCATACAGAATATTAAGGCCGACAACAATCAAAATTAAATAATCCCAGTTTCCCTAATATGTGGTGCAAAAAAAGCAAAGGAATGATTGACTATCTCTACAGTCAGGGGAGTGAGTAAGGATGGGGTAATAAGTGAGAAGCAACAGAGGGGGCGTGGGACGTGGGGGCCATTTTTGGTGCTGGTGATACTCTTCTTCTTGACCTAGCTGGTGGTTACATGTATGTTTGCTTTGTAATTATTCATTGTACTTTTCTGCATGTATGTTATATTTCACAACAAAAGAAGGAAACATTAATACACTGGATGCATCAGTTAGCCATTATTATGAGAAAAAAACATCAAAACTTGTGGTTTAAAACAATCTGCATTTATAGTTTACTGCATGGTAGACTCTGGGTCAGCTAAGTGGATCTGGTCTCAGCTGGGCTCAGTCATTCTCGGCTGTCAGCTAGGAGTGGGACATGTAGCTTTGCTGATTTTGGCTGGACTCATTCGTATTTTGGCAGGAAAACTGGCTATAGGTTGGTCTAGGATGACCTTGGCTGGGACAAGTGGACTCTCCTTCATGTTGGAATTTCTCATCATCCAACAAGCTAGCCCAGGGTGTTCACATGGGGATTCCAGGGGTTCAGGAGAAAGAATGTGCAAGGCCTATTGAGGCCCAGGCTCAGAACTGGCCCTCCCACTTCTGCCTCATTCTATTAGTAAAAAGTCACAAGGCTGGGGCAGATTCAAGGGATGACTAGGTGTTGCAAAAACACTCTGCCAATCAGGGTTCCATTAAAGAAGCACAATCACTAGAAGTCTAAACAGATAAACAAACATGCACATAGATACAGCATGTTTGTGTATACATATACAGCTGATTAAACAGTCAGTGGGAGGTGTTGCTTCTGTGTGTGATGCTGGAGACTGGAGCCTGCTGATAATGGATAAAAATCGATAAGGAAAGATGGAAGTTAAGTAGAAAAAGGGGAAACTGAAGCCTGTATGATGGGCCACACTCACAGTTTTTCACTGGCTCCAAGCCCCCAACTTTGATGGTGAATAAACTGCAGGAAACACTGACTTTCTTCTATAGGGGGCTAAACATGTGCCTGGCCTGGGAGTCAGAGAACCTTCAGGCACAAAAGGGAGTATCAATACTGTTTCATCACTTGCATCTTTCAAAATGTCTCTTGCGGCCCGCTAACCTCCAACTATGCAGGGAACAGAATTCTAGGAAACAGCAGTTCTGGCTTAGCTGATGTAATACAATACAAATCCACCACAGAACACTTTGCAAAAGTGAGTGTGGGGTGAGAGAAGAATTCATTCATTTTTGCACTCAGTCCACTTTCTGGATAAAGACAGAAAATGAATAAAACGAGATTCTTGCCCTTGTAAGGTTCATGACCTAGAAAATATGAATTAAATTTTGTTCCAGATTTTTAGTTTATCTTTTCTTCGTTTGCCAGGATTACTATAAGGATGAGAAAAGCATATATGTAAGCAAGCTTTATAAAATACACAAATTAATGTAATCTTTATGTCAGGTATACACCTAGAGACTACAAAGTATTACAAGGAGCCATGATTTATTCAGTTTACAGTGAAAACACAGCAATGGGAATTTTGACCCAGATGTCAACTTTGAGCCTAGATTTTCTCATACCCCCTACTAATAGGTACGCTTGGAAAAATTACCCAAACTTTCTAATACCCAGTTTATTCATCCATAGAATGGGAATAATTATAGGGGGCTGAAAAGATTGAATGAGACAATTAGAAAATATCTGTACAGTACATAACACAGTGCTTGAAATGCAACAGGGACTGTGTATATAATTCTCCTTCAAAAGGCTGCTATTAAAAAAAAAACTATCTTTCATATTACTCCTATAGATATGAGGTCTCTTCTTATTTCTATATATCAGAATATTAGAGCAAATTAAATAACCAAATTATAACATATATATAGGATCAGGGAAGTTTCAAAGGACAAGGTTTAGGAGGAGGAGAGGAACATAGCCACCACCTCTTTGGTGTGCACAGCAGATAGAAATAAGGGAAATTCTGGGATAAAGCATTTTACACCCAGAGATGGAGATCCCCAATTTAGGAAGCACCTCACATAAAGGAGTGGGGACTAGAAGTGTCAACATCTTCACTATTATACCTAGG